CAGCTGTGGCTGGGAAACAGGGGAGGTGGTGCCAAAAAGCATTCCTTCAAACTTTTTTCAGCAGGATTTTTTTATAAGATTTGAAAGAGTGGGAAACTTTTGTTTAGGCTTAACTGGGTTGCATACGTCAAGGCCTTCCAGATAATTTAAATGGGTGTGGTGATTCAAGGTCAGGTGCCTATGCTGGCCTATAGGGATAGAGGAATGTGGGACCCAGTGCTGTCAGTACTTTTGCTTTTCTTATTTTATCTCTAGCATTAATTCAATATGGAAAATACTGTTTTATATCCTTCATTTTCCAAATCTGATCACCTTAACATTATTAAGTATATACTTCATTGCTTCTGAATTTCCTCATACCCAACCACAAATCTCTGATTTTCTGACTTTACACTGTGTCAACAAGTTCTCAGGGCATGCATCATCCTGTGCTATCCCCTTGGAAGAAGCATGGTTCTCTCCTCAGAGAGCCTCTAGTCTAGCTACAAAAACAGGCCTTAAAATGGAGCACTACCCATCTGCAAATGAGTCCATGAATAGTGTGTCTTACAGGAGCAATTTCATGTTTTCTTATTCTCAGCTCTTCTAAAGACCCTGCTTAATGTTGGTCTCCACCAATATGATGCCCATATTAACTAACTCCAACAAAATGGGTCCTTTGCTTTGGGATCACTAGGATACAAAAGACTTGCTACTTTACCATCTGCTCTTGAGTCATTTTTTTGTGTGGTCTCCCATGTAGGCCGTGGTCTCCTCTGGGTTTATTAATACAGACTTCTATGATGCCTGGTTAAAGGAGAGAACATGGGAGCCAATCCCTAAGTGCTTGTTCCAAAATGGTTTCTGGTCAGGACACAGTCCTCCAGATCACTGTTGTCTCTAAGATAATGTGTACACTGTAAGCAGTAAGCAAGCATGTGATAATTACTATTTGCATCATTAAAAATATTCCTATGGGGGCTGGGGCTGGGACTCAGTGATAGAGCGCTTGTCTTGCTTGTGTGAGGCACTGGGTTCAATACTCAGCACCACATAATAATAAATAAATTGAATAAAGCTATTTAAAAAATATTTTTATGGCATTGATGTTTGGAAGGTTGAATTTCTTTAAAAAAAAAAAAAAACCCTGTGATTTGAATGTGTCCCTCAAAAAGCGGGTGTTAGAAACAATCCTCAGTGGAAGGTAGGGCTTACTGGGAGGCACTTATGTCATGAGAACTCTGCCATCATGAATGAATTAATAACAATGGCTTGAGCCTACAAGTTCCATCTCTTTATTTTTCTCTTACATGCCTGTATTATGCCTTCCACCATGTTATGACACAACAAGGAGGCACTCACAAGATGTGGCCTCTCAGTCTTGAACTTCCCAGTCTCCAGAACAATGAGACAAATAGGCTTACATTGTTTATAAATTATCCAGTCTATGGTATTCTGTTATAACAGCAGAAAGAAAACTAAGACAAATACAGAATGTCATTTATCACACTTATTGCCATCCAAGGAACTGATTGAACATAAACTGTTCTGTATGGTACAAGCATGTAATCTGGAAACATTTTGATCCGATTTTTTGTTCTCTCTGGAAGCAAAGATGAGAAATTCTTCAAAAACTGAAGACCCCAAGAAAAGTGATGATTGAACACCAAGGAGAAGAGGAACAAGTGGTTTCATTGTGCAGCTCTGGTCACTTTCTTGAAGATTTGAAAAGAGAAAATGACATACTAAAACATTGTATCACTTCACAATATTGTACATCATGTATTATTTCATATAATTGCCCATTAAAAATATTCACGTAAAATTAAGTAAAAAAGATAATAGTTACTTTAAACAGCTCCACTTTTTATTGTAGGTAGTTATTCACAAAAATCACACTTCGGTTATAAGGAGGTTTCAAGATACTGTTTGCAGTTTGGAGTTTAAGTATATATTATCCTTTTGTAACTATATTCTAATTCTGGTGGGAATAGAAAGGAGCCAAACAACCTTGAAAAGTTTGGCACTACCTAATAAAGCCTAATACTGCATACACACTGACCCAGCAATGTAGCTTCTATGTATATACCCTAGAGCAATGACTCTCAGACTTTAGTGTGTACCAGAATCCCCTGGAGAGTATGTTCAAACACACATTGCTGGAGGCTACTCCAGATTCACTGAGTCTGGGTGAAACCATAGAGAATTTGCATCCCTAACAAGTTCCCAAGTGATAGTGATGCTGCAGGTTCTGAACTACACTTTCAGAATCACCCTCTCAGAAAGATCAGTATGTGTACAGAAGACATGAATAGAATTTTTAAAATCACTGCTCCTAATACCCCAAAGCTAGAAATAACACAAATTTCCATCAGTGGTTCAATGGAAGAATTTAACTGTAAATTCATATAAGAAAATGCTATGTAACAATCATAATGAATGACTTTTAGTTGCCTGAGGGAATTATAGGATGAATCTCCCAAAGTGGTGAGTGAAATAAATGAAATAAGAAAGAATACCCACAGTGTGATTCCATCCACATTATCCCCAAAGGAAAAACAAAACAAAACAAAACAAAACTGTATTCTGTACCTATGCATGCCTAGATAGTAAGACTAAAAAAAATCAATTGATTATCTCAAAAATCAGACCAATAATCACATGGGGTGAGGAGGAGGGATGCAAAATGTGGTTCTTTGAGTATAAGCAACAGTCTAGATCTTTACTTATATGCTGAATATGCCAAAGTTGAACTTATAATTATTATTTAAACTTAAACTGTACATTGGTATTTATGTACATCTATTTACGATCCATTCCATAATTTAAAAAAATTTTTAAAGCCATTCTATCTTAAATGAAAATACCCCCATCCTAAATGTATTCTGACTATTTGACATTTTGTTTGAAAGTTAGGATCCGTCCACTAGTTATAAAAATAAATTTCTTAGTCTTTTTTTTAAAAAAAAAATATGTTTTAATTGTCGATGAATACAATATCTTTATTTATTTATCTTTATGTGGTGCTGAGGATCAAACCCAGGGCATGCTAGGCAAGCACTCTACCACTGAGCCACAACCCCAACGCTAAATTTCTTAGTCTTTAATGTATGACTTAATTAGTCTGTCTCAAAGACTCTTTCAATGAAGGAACTAGAGGATTTAAAAACTAAATTTTTTAATGTCAAGTACATTTGCTGATATGAATTAGCAATGAAGAAAACATAACAAAATAAGAGAACTATCAATCCTATTTGGAGAACAGGTTAAAATCTTGTGCAGTTTTTATGTTTTATTGTCTCTATATAAGAAGTCACAATAGGCCTTAGTAATTAGATCAACTTTTAGATGTTGAGGATAGGAACGCATAAATGATGAAAGAGATTGATGACTCTTTGCCACATTACAACTGATTTACATAATTTTCCCTATGCAAATTTTATAACTGAAAAGGTTGAGAACACTTATGAACTATTTTCATTTTGTGGAAGGAGAATCATTTTTAAAATATTGAAAGGGAGGCAGAATTGAATGTGCCTGTTGACTATATTGTGATGTTCTTTTGCCTCCAAAAATTCAGAGGAGTCAGGAACATCTGCAACCCTGTGAGGATCCCAAGAATGCTCATTACTGTTTCAGAATGCTTACTCTGTCTTTCCTTGATACCAGAGTATTGTTTTTAAATTTTATTGGGCTGACCATCTTTCCTTATTACATTTTTAGTGTGCCCTGTAAATCAATTCTTAATTCCTCTTTTAAACATGAATTTCCGGGTGGCATCAGCTTCATGACTGTCATGCAATCACAATGTAGATTCCCGATTCACACCTCCCACAAGTTAAACTGACAGCTGCATAATTCCAAAACACATTCTGGCAATGATCGGGGCCAATATTTTATGATGACACCCCAGGAATTCTACTTCAGCTGCCCACTGATGCGAGGGCTATATTTATTAGTTAGCAATTTAAACAAACAAATTAAGAACATTTTTTGTGGTGCTGGGGATTGAACCCAGGGCCTTGTGCATGTGAGGCAAGCACTCTACCAACTGAGCTATATCCCCAGTCCCACATATTAAGTACATTTAAGTACCAGATAATAAAATGATATATTCCTTACTTATTATAGTGAAAAAATAGAAACCCCAACATCCATCAATGGGGAAATTATTAATTAAATTATGATGCAACCATGTCATGGGCTACTATTCAACCCCCACAAAGGAAGGAGATATGAATTTGTGAAGCTGTATCAGGCTCCACATTAAGCACTACATGTGCATTGTTCCATGTAATTCTCACAATAACCCCATGACATTCTCATCTTATAGATAAGGATGGTGAGACTTTTCCAAAGTCACACCCATAGTAAATGGCATAGTGATAGTTAAACCTATATTTTTGTGGATCCGCAAATCCATTTCCTTATCCAATGATACTGTACTAAATCACAGATGTCAAAGCTGTATGTATTATTAATTCTCTTAAGGATGTTTGCTTGGGGCTGGGGATGTGGCTTGGGTGGTAGTGCGCTCGCCTGGCATGTGTGCGGCCTGGGTTCGATCCTCAGCACCACATACAAACAAAGATGTTGTGTCCGCCGAAAACTAAAAAATAAATATTAAAAAAATTCTGTCTCTCTCTCTCTGTCTGTCTCTTTAAAAAAAAAGGGATGTTTGCTTCATGATGGACATTGATTTGTATAATCCTGGAGAATCAAAGAGACTTATGTAATAATAAAAGCAAACATATCTACATGTCAAAGCTAAATTACATTGGAAGGAGGGAAGTTTTCTATACTTTCCATGACTGAAAGAAATTTTAAGAGTGTACATCAAGACTCTGGTTATACGTAGTGTCCAAATCAGGGATATTCATGCATTCTTAGAGATGTTCCTAAATGTCAAATTATGAGTGAAGTAAGAAAGAGGTCATACTTTTGCTCAAATGTAATTATTGATAATATAAAATCACTTGTATACTTCATTTCATAACTTCCTGTTCTTTTAATATTTACAGATGGCCAAAAAAGAAAGAAATCTTTGAGAAAGAAACTGGATTCACTAGGAAAGGAGAAAAACAAAGACAGAGGTAAAAGATGAAATAAATAAAACAAATGTATCTTCCATTGAGCATAATGGTTGAATTTGGTGGGGATTTGAATTGCATAGATGTATGTGGTTTAATTTTATTATGTAAACTGGATTTCTATGATGGAATATCATTAAGGGACATTTGGTCTACTCTTCTCTGTTTGAATATCCCTGTACTGAATTGATGAATTCAGCTCATTTGAGCAGAGTGTGACTTCTGCCAAGTTTGTGGTTCCAATTATTCTGGCCAATCAGCTATGCATAAGAGGACCTGGATCAAGTAGCTATGGACAGCATCACTAACACTAACCAGCTGTCTAGCGAATCCAGATAGTTAGGCAGGGCTAGCTGAATGAGAAAGAGTTTGGATTAGCCTACCATGACTACTGGAGAGAAACAGTTTCAGCCTCCTGGGTTACTGAAGATGTGCCGTTCGCAGCATTTTTATGTTAGACATAGCATGATCATTTTTTGTCCCCTATGTTTTGGGAATTGCTGCCTCTCATCACACTGTTTTGTGTCCCTTCTATGTATATTTAGGGAACTGACACTTGAGTCCTTCTTTCAGGGTTTTTATGGTCATTTTTAACTAATATTCTTTGAGCCTGCCTAATGGAAACCTGGGCCTCATTAACACAGTCAATTTTTTGTGGCTCTCTCTTAGAGTCATATTAGATGATTTCTGAATGTTGTGGTCCTATTAATGTATAGTCATTTCATGGGAATCAGTAATTGCATGATGAATGAGAACAGACATAATTCTTACCTTGGAATTCTTTTATATAGTATTTGGATTTCTGCTTGAAAAGCAATGGATAGCAATGAATCTGAGGGCTTTAAAAATAAATGCATGGGCTGGGGTTGTGGCTTGGTGGTAGAGCACTTGCCTCCCATGTGTGAGGCACTGGGTTCAATTCTCAGCACCGCATATAAATAAATGAATAAAATATAGGTCCATCAACAACTAAATAACAGATATTTTAAAAATGCATTTATGATCAATATTAGACAAGACCTATTCCACACTATAGATACCAGAATCTACCTTGAACTGTGCCTTAAGGATCATAACATTTGGTTCATCATGTTTAGAGATAAAGAATTGTAAAGAATGGAAAAATCATTGTTTTGCTTCCCTTAGAGCAGGGTTTTTCACCCTTGGTAAGATTTGATGCTTTAGATGGGAAAAACCTGTGTGGCAGGGGTTGTCCTGTGCACCATAGGATATTTAGTAGTATCCTTGGCCTCTACTCACTAGATACCAGTAGCATTGCCCCCAACTAAAATATCTTCAGAGATTTCAAATGTTTATCTCAGATGGGAAAAAAAGGTGAAAGTTTCAGCAATCCTTCCTTACCCCTGACTACACAGTATGATGATTCGTGGAATGTTTAAAAAATCTTTCATAATAGTGCATTGTAGTTATACAGAATAGTGATGTTTATTTTGGCATAATCATGCAAATGTGGGATATAATTTGCTCCAGTTTAGTCCCCAGTACTTCCCCTTTCCCTTCCCTCTTCCCTCTCCTTGTTCCCTTTTCTCTACTCACTGGTCTTCCTTCTATTTATTTATAGTTTTTTAAATTAGTGCTTTATAGATATACATAAAGGTGGAACTTTTTAAAATCCTAATGATCAAGGTCTAGCTTAGAAGATAGCATTTGGCCTAGAATGCATGAAGGCCAGGGTTCAATCTCCAGTACTGCAAACAAGCAAAGAAAAAAATAGAAAAAAACTAAAGCCCAGATCCCCATGCAGGGAGTCTGAGTCCCTCAGTCTGCAAGGGTACCTAGAGCATGGGTGCTTTTTTTGCATAAAAAGGAAAAGAAGTTTTATTGCTTTGCTAGCAAATGAGAAACACAGGGGACTGCTGTCCCAGAGGCTGTGATTCTCCCCATCAGCAGGAATGGAGCTCTTTTTAAAGAGGTGATTCAAAGGCTACATTCCAAGTGTTCTTTGTTGGATTTGTAATTCGCTTATTAATTTGGGAGATAGATATTTCTGAGATCTGGCACCATCCCCAAAGTCTGGATTACTTCATTCCTATGGTGGGTGTGTACTCATGGACAGATAAATCTGCCTAAAATTGGGAAGAAAGGTAATCCTGTTTCCCCTGAGATTTGGAGGGGGGGGGGGGGAGAGTTTAGGGAGGAGCAGTAAGAGAGGAAGAGAAAGAAACACATCCATTTTAAAAATAAGCTGCTGTGGCAGAGCAGCAAGGGTTATATTCAAAGCATAAAGTAGACCACTGTTAACATTTTCCCACTGTCAATTCCTACATTCCATTTCTATGGGAAAATAGGCGACAACATCTCCAAGCTGCTTCCTGCTGAAAGAAGGTGAAGTTACAGGAAGTAAACCAAAGTCATTTTCTCTATCAGGTGGGGCATGAACAGTTAAAGGCATTTAGCATCAGAGCAGTCCAGAGGTCCACAGTGGCAGATGGCAGGTGACTGGACATAGCATACATAGGGCAGGTATCATCCTAAGACAACAATAAACAGACAGCAAAGCATTACTTTTTTTGTAAACAATTACACCAAAGCAATTAGTATTTCAGCCAGTCTCTGAAAACTGTGAAGACAGTAACTCATAATCATATCAATGAAAAACAGATCAAGTTTATCAATGTAGGAGATCAGGAAGATTTGTAGATCTATGAGATCAGGCTCAAATTAATTCAGGACAAACTTGTGACTCCAGAGTCCTTTGTGATCATTATTATTAAGCACTCCTACACAAGAACCCTCCTTTATAGGCTCCAGCTTTACTTAGTTTTGATAGAACTGACAAAAGTGTACATCTTAAGTAACACTAAACACACAGACACACACACACACACACACACACACACATCATTTTTCCTTTTTAGAGCTGTGCTTAGGCTTATTCTCCTGCCAGGTTTTAAGACCAAACCCTACATATAGTATGTTTTTTCCCATGCATACATTTGTACAATAAAGTTTAATTTAGAAATTAGGCACAGTAAGAGATTAACAACAATACCTAATAATAAATAGATTGATTATTACAATGTACTATAATAAAAGCTATTTCAGACTTATAAATTGCTTATTTCTGGAATGTTCCATTTAGTATTTTTTGACCACAGTTAACTACAGGTAACCAAAACCATGGAAAGTGAAACTGTGGATAAGGGATTACTTCTGTATTAGTAATGTATTAACTCTTAATGTTCATTTGTTCTAGGATAGAGATATACATCCTGGGACTTAAATACAACATAGATTTTAGGTGATTCTTTGAAAAGTACATATTCAAGCTAGTCTAAGCATAATGAGCATTTTAGCAGGAGAAGATAGATGTTTGCATTCTGTGTGTGTGTGTGTGTGTGTGTGTACATGTGCTGCCTTATTACTATATACAAAATAGCAGGAAGTAAAAACATGAATGATCCAGGAAGGAAAGGCCAAGGAAGTAATTGACCGATACACACTGGTCTATTATACATTTTCCAGACCAAATCATATTTATGTAGGCTCAGTGAAAGCTTAGCCATGTTCTATACTGCCCTGCAGAGTTCGCTGAGGGAAAAAATGGCAGCTCCTGATGGTTTCAAAGACATATCACTCATCCAACTAAAGGGAAGGTATCAGGCTCCATGACCGAAGTGTTGATTTTTTGTAAAGTATTTTTTTCATTCATTCACATTTTTATTGGTGCATAAAGTAGTTTTGATGTTTAAACCCAATGTATCTTAGACTTAAGTGAAGAGTAATTAAATAGCATTTCCTATACATAAAGATCTGTTCATGTCAACATTGGAAGCCATTATGAGGATAGCCTGGGAACCAGAGTGTGAGGGCACCAATGTGCTAGTCTGGCACAGTGGTGATCAGTACACTTTATTTCCTTCCCACAGAATATTAGCATTTGGGTTCATAACAGCTGTGCATGTGAAAAATGATCATTTGGGTCCAAGAGTAAAAGAAGGAAAACAGGAAACTCTAAATGACCTCTTGGGTTAGGCCATCTAAAAATAAAGAGGAGCAGCTTTTCAGAGTCAAATTGCTGTCCCAATAATGAGTGATTCACAAGTGTTTAATATGCTACTACATTAATTGATTCTATCAGAACATATCATGTTCTGCATGTTATTTAATTGCCTTGATAAAATACATAGCAGATCATGTGACACTCCCATTTCCCTCCTGCCACGCAAGCAGTGCTTGTATTTACCTTTTGATCTCTGTGATGGAAATTAATTCAAGATTAACACTGATTCAGAAAACATTTCATATAGATTAGTCCCACACACTTAATTTCTCTTAGTTTAATTACTTGGCAACTGAAATCATTTGTAAAACTTTCAGAACTTAAGAAAATTTCTTTCTTATGTCAAAAAAGAAATCCGTTTGGGGGGATAGTTTAAAAATAGCTACTTTGTTCCAGTTACTGTGCCTCTTAACCAGAGCACATAGGTTTAGGTTTTACTGTGGCATAACTTTGGGGGATACATCCCCTCCCCTCAGGACATTGACACATTATGCCATGTATTATTAATCAACAAAAAATATGACAGTACTCCAGTTCTGGCACCTTTCTTTATGCTGAAATCCTATTATTCTGAAATCCTATAATGCTGCTTTAGTGTTACTCACTGTCCAAGTATATCATTATATATGAGCTGTGAAGTAACACTATATAAAGAATAGTTGATACAATCCTTAGTTTTGCTTCATATTAAATAGCAATATAAAAATCAAGTATCAGTTATCACCATGTAGAAATTCTCAAAGAAAATATGTTGAATGTCATTATGGAGTACTATTACTTGATGAAAACAGCCGGGAAACAGCCTCCTCATTGAACACTTGCCATGGGCTAGAACATGATATCCATTGCCTTGACCCAGCACAGATAATCTTGGGTAATTTCCTTGTAGTCTTAAAATCCAATTATCAATTTTTTAGCTTTTGTCAACATGAAGAGTCCCAAAGTTCTTCCCCATCCAACAGAAGAGCTTTGAAACCATACATAGGCATGTGTAACCAATGCTTTATTTACATATAAACAAGGCTTTTGCTCAGTAGACTGGTAATGAGTCCTCTCTTTGACAATAGTCATATTTTTAAGAATAAATAATATTCAGGAATCCTTCCTAAAATTTTAGAGAGACTGCATAGACACTGCACTACATATTAGAGCAGAGAGAGTTCTCCTTTGTGAAGCTTGTGAGAGTCCTCAGGGAAAGCAATAAGAAACTAAGGAGACAATATCCACACTCTACCACTGAAGAAATAAACTCAACCAGAAAATAAAGCCTTCAAGAGAGAAATAAAAATCTGTTGTGGGTGGTTACATCTCTTGAATAAAAGAGGAAGAATAAGTGAGGGAGAATGACTTCATGTATTTTATCTGTTTAATTGGTATTAAATTATTCCAATTAGTAGAATGACAGACTTTCAGATACTAAAAAATGACAGATTCCAAAGGAAACTACAGTTTTTCCTTCTTCCATAGATATTAAAAATATTTAAATGAGTCTGGTTAGGTTTCCTTATATGGAAAAAATGGCTAGCAGAAGATTCAGTAGTCCCTTTCCCTACTATGTGTCTGCCTAACATGAGCAGACATGTGGCACCTCATACATTTCAATGTTCTTTTTGAAGTAAGAATATTTGCTTATTTCCACAGACAAGATAGCACTAATTTGTATAATAAATCCTCAGGGTATGCAGCTGGTGTCTGATATTGTCCCTTTTGCTTTCTAATTTTGCTAATAGTAGAACTGACCTTTTGTCAGTAGAGAATATTAGATCTTTCTACACTGTCCAAATTGATCACTCAGTGGACAGATGCCTAACTTTTTTATTATCTCATGTCACCTAGTATGTTGATACTAAATGGCAAGCACCTCTAAAAATCCCCAAATGAAGTTAAAGTTTTTACTTCAAAACAAACTGCATGTTTTGATAGAACCAGAGATACAAGCCTTTAAAGTAGCATTTCTTGTTTTAATGCCTACTTGGCCATTAGCCTAGTTTAAAATTTTGCCATGAATCAAAGAGTAAACCTTTTAAAGCCTATTTCCACCTGATTTAATGTTAGTGAACTACCTTGGAATTATTTTCCCTTGAACAAAGAACCTTAGAATTATTTTCCCTTGATCATTCTGGTTTCATTCATAGGGCTTATAAAAACAAGGGAGAAACTAGACTCCAATTTGCTGCTGCTAGGAGACTAATTTTGAGCCTAACAGGAATAATGCCCTTGATTGAATTATTAATGCATTTTTAGCATGAATCTAAAAAATTGCCAGCAAAATGTCTGGCCCTAAGAATCCAATATATATGTATACAAATAGATTCACTACATAGATGCAGAATGCAAATAACTATATGTACATTTCTAAATAGTATCATACATTTCTGCATTGTGCCCCTTCCTTACTAGAGGATTTAAAAAATTATATCCTAGGCCTCCCCATCAGATACATTGTGGTGGAGTCCATATCTACATGTGGCCAGCAGAATGGCTTGAGTAAAGATCATGAGGGTGACAGGCACAACCCAGCTGGCTGGAGGTGGGATACAGGAATGAGGAACACAATGTAAAATGAGCAAATTTGTTCCTAAGTTCCTCCTCTGCCTCTCCGGTTTTCATTTAGCATGCTGCTTTTTATTTTGGGAACCTAAAGTGTACCTACTTAACTGAATTTCAGCCTTTGCCCCATGTATATATTATAACACATGATAGTCACTTTATTATAATTATTTAAATATCTGACTCTGCACTCCCCAACCCCACTCTAAACTCTGAACCCCTAAACCAGCAAGGACGGGGTGTTTTATAAGCTTTATACCCATCCCCAATGTGTGGCTTAACATGGCACATAATAGGTATTCAATAAATACTTATTAATGAATGGAAAAGTACATTCACCACATGTCTTTTAGCCTTCAGAGACTTCTGAAACATACAAATCAAAGACTGAGTTTGAAAACTGTGTATTCATGAGCATAAAGTACTATTGATCTCTATTAAAAATGTCACACTTCTCTTTAATGTTATTTCCTTTAAAACAGATTCAAGGCACACAGGAAAAAAAACTGGATAACTAGATTTCCAAAATGCATATTTATACCAACTAGTTTTCTTGATTGAAATTATAACTTTGGCCATTCTGATAAACACAAAGTCATCTCTGTCTATTGATTGATTGGTTCTTCAGAAAACTATCATTTGAACATGTTTGCCCTTTGGTCTGACATGTAAATAAGTGTCTTCACTGGTCTATGAACTCTCTGAATATGAATGTCCGGGTTTTGGTTCCAGAATTCATCCCACAAGCTTTTGGAATGCCCTTATCCCAAGTCATTGCCAATGACCGGGCCTACAAACTCAAGCAGGATTCTCAGAGGGATGAGCAGAAGGATGCATCTGATTTTGTGGCTTCCCTCCTCCCATTTGGAAATAAAAGACAAAACAAAGAACTCTCAAGCAGTAACTCATCTCTCAGCTCAACCTCAGAAACACCAAATGAGTCAACATCCCCAAACACCCCAGAACCAGCTCCTCGGGCCAGGAGGAGGGTGAGTTGGCCAGAATTTTTTGCAACACTAATGTTAGGAACACTGAAGATGTATAAGGTTATTCTTCGAGTCTTTCTTCATGTGAAGACTGAATATGTAGCTTGGATCCATTCCTTCAGAGAGCATTTGTACTGCACATAGAGCAGCTGGCACATCCTTAAATCTCTCTCTATCTCCTCTCAAAGCTGTTGAGTGTCACCCCTTTGTTACCACTGTACTCCATGACAACCTAAACATTCTACACTATTGCCACTGATCCTGGTCTGTCTTTATAGTCTGTTGTCTTGCACTATATGTGAAGCTTGAGGACAGGACCCAGTGTTTTTGTTAATTTCTTCACTACCTATCTGAGAATGTGCCTGACCAAAAGAGTTGACTATGGGTCTTCATAAACAAAGTTAGTTTTTTCTTTCAATCGAGCATTTTCCCCTTAAATAGAACCATAGGATCCTACATGTGGCCTCTTTCAAATCAATACTATAATAATATGGTACCAGTCATCAAATGAGTACTATGTTCTAGACACTGTGCTATTTTGGCATTTTAAATTTCAAACCTGGAAAGCTGAGTTGTTCAAGCAGACAGATGCTTATCTGACAATTGGCTGAGTCAGATAAGCATCTCTAAGACTTCCTTGGTCACTGAGAGATCTCTCCATTTCCTCTGCCTGGAGGCCCTAAATCTTTGCCACCTCCATCCATTGAAGACTGCCCTAATAAAAATTGCAGACATGACCCAAACTTAAAATCCATAAATATCAATCAGCTACCAACATGGAGGATTTCTCCAAGATAAAGCAAGACCTGTGCCCTGTGTTGACTGCAGTACCGACTATGCTTAAAAATGAAGAAATGACAAAATTATAGAATAGTTGAATTTGCACAATGAATTTGTTCATCTAAGCCTGTCACTTGGTATAAACTCAAATGACAGTTAATAGTAAAACTGTAAATTTTAGCTTTCTGAAAATCTAGAGCCTAGACAGTGGGCTTTCCGAATGCCCTCTCCTTTGTCCAGCCTCTACTAGGACACCAGCAGCCAACTTCTTCCTGTATGCTTCATCACAGATGGGTGGCTGCAGTACACATGGTTATCATTCCAAGCATGCCAACCCACTTTCCATCTGCCAGCACCTCAACTCTTTGCTGAGGGCTTGCTCTGATGACCAGGGGCTCCCAAAACAAGCAGATAGCAAGTTTTAAGTACTAAGGAGATAAGTTCTCTTCTCTGCCCCAACAAGAGGCTGTCCTTAATGATTCCTGAGACTTAGTGTATAAACATACTGATTCCTTCATTCCTTAGGGCACTATCTACACAATCTCCTGGGGTTCTCCAGGGAGATGGACCTGCAGTTGCCCATAATGTTAACAGGCTTGATGATTTTCCCTTGCTGGGCTGCCTTCCCTTCCCTTTCTCATTCCCTCTGTAGGTCTTTCCTGGGAAACCTCCTAATAAAGTACATTATGTGCTTCTGGAGGAAACTAAAATAAGACTATTTTATAGAACCTTCCTATTTTAAAAATCTGCTTCCCAGGACCACATTTAAGGGAATTTTTATTCACAAGACTTCTTTGACTTTACCTCATTCATTGAGTATGTGATTTTTTTCTTGTTTCATAAAATGAAGTGGTTGGGTCAAAATATTTTAATTATATGTTTCCCATCTCTTGTCTTCCATTTGGAAAATTTTGTCTATTGTTGAAACTTTAACTGTCAATATCTTACCCTATGTTGTGGAGATTTTCTAACTTATTCAAAAAGTACTGTTTTCCTTTTGAGATACATATAGCAAAATTGATTAAATCAAGTGGTATTAATTTAGGAGTAATAAATAATAATGGGCAAAAATATTGATTGCATAGAATCTGGAGGCAGCTATTTTTCTTCTCTGTCCTCTTGTTCAAGTCTGTATGTTATCTATAGGGTGCCATGTCAGTGGACTCTATCACCGATCTGGATGACAACCAATCTCGACTACTAGAAGCATTACAACTCTCCTTGCCCGCTGAGGCTCAAAATAAAAAAGAGAAAGCCAGAGATAAGAAACTCAGTCTGAATCCTATTTACAGACAGGTTCCAAGACTGGTGGACAGCTGTTGTCAGCATCTGGAAAAACATGGTAAGTAGACTTGTCTGTCAGCACCATTCCTTTAAGCATCTAATTTTGACTCTGTGTTCCCTTGATTGGGAGTTTCCTTGACTGGGCTCTTCACCAGACTTACTTTTTTGAAGAAAGTGAACAGATGTGAATGTTTGTTTAAGGGATTGTGCGCTCAGCAAGCTTTGTCGGGGGTAATTTGATGGTATTTGGACAGCTCAGCCCTCAAGAGCTCTCAGAAGTGACTCTGGGCAAGAAATTTAGGAAAGGGCCACTTCTATTAGGCTGGGCACACCTTCTGTCTGCAAGCCCACCTTCAAACAGAGCAGAGTCAGTTTTTTTATATATATATATTGAAGCTACTCATAAAGTTTCCTCTAAAAATACTAGTTCAGCTTATTTTTTAAACATATTTTAAAAAAACATTGCTTAGGTTACTAGAAAATATACTATTTTTGACTATGGGTTTACATATGGCTGTTTGCCATTTTATAGATAATGTCCACTTAAAATTTCTCCACAGTAATCCTTTGCAACTAAATTACAGTTAATATTTTGGCATTGAAATGATGGTGAGTTCTTTAAAAATTTTGCTGCAATCTAGATTTTTGGCTCATCAAACTGCCATTTTCTTAATGTAAATTTGTTTGCTATAGTGTGAACATGTATTTATGAACATGGAAAAAGTTTCTTAATTATTTCTTTACTCTAAAAATAATATGCTTATTACAATAAAAAATGAAAACTAAAAAAAATTCTAAGGCTATCATGCAGACATGGTTACTGTTGACATTCTCATCTATTTGTTAGTAATAAAAATGGAATAGTTAACAAGGAATAGTTAGAAGAGTTAACATATAGCTTACTGCCTAAAGGAAAGAATCTTTTGGCCTTCCAAGGCTCTGATTATATTCCAGGTTTCTATGATATCTCAACCAAATTGCTCTAGAAAATTAAGAGACACATTCAAATTCAAATAGATTAACACTGGTCATTTTAAACCAATGTGGGGGGAAGCAAACTTCAGAATACTTTCTTACATAATATTTTATTTGCCTGTTTTTGAACTGGGTAGCAGAGGACATGAATCATATTAGTCTTATAAACATTTGTTGAGGATTTTTCACCCTCTCCAAAATTGGTCTTTGACCATTATATTGGCCCCATCTATATTCATGTACCCAACACTTCCTCACTTATATTTCATTTGAATGCTTTCTATACTTAGGTCAAAATTCCTTATACATCCTCAATTTCCCAGATGTACACATTTCCATAAAAAAGACAAAAATATAGCAGAGTCAAATTATATTTCTGGGATTTAGGCTGATTTTCAGATGGGACCTAGTACTTATTGTGCCTGCTCTGGTTTCTTGACACCCCTAAGCTTGAGATTCAGGTGCTTTGGGGTCTAGTTTCCATTTCAGTTTCTAATGAAAAGGGGAGAAAGATGATCACATCAATTTCTGGGACAGTAACATTTCTTTATCAGATCTATTCCTTTTCATTGTCTCCCTGTTTTTATCAGTGACTATCTTAAGTCATAGTTACTGAATGCCTAGACTGTATCTTCTCTTTGAGGAAAATTACTGTAAGGCTATGTCAGAAAAAGGCATTGACTGTCTAAAGATTATCTTAGTTCTACCTCAAAAAGTTAAATTAAAAAAAATCTCAGATTATACTTCATTGAGGTACATAGGAATTATGGCAATCAATCTCTAGTTGCTAAATTATCATTATTATTATTATTATTAATTTATTTTGGTACCAGGGATTGAACTCAGGGGCAGTTAATCACTGAGCCACATCCCAGCCTGTTTTATTTTGAGACAGGGTCTCGCTAAATTGTTCAGGCTAGCCTTGAACTTGAGATCCTCCTACTTTAGCTTCCTGAGGCACTGGGATTACAGAAATGTGCCACCATGCCTGGCTAATGAATTATTTTTTAAACCAGTTTTAAATTGTGAAATAGTACAGTAATTGCAGAGATAATGTAATTTAAATGAATGTTTCAAAACAGATGGGAGAAATTCAGAAAAATGAATAGTCGGGCTGGGGATGTGGCTCAAGCGGTAGCGCACTCGCCTGGCACGCGTCTGGCCCAGGTTTGATCCTCAGCACCACATACAAACAAAGATGTTGTGTCCGTCGAAAACTAAAAAAAAAATAAATATTAAAAAATTCTCTCTCTCTCTCTCTCTCTCTCTCTCTCTCTCTCTCTAAAAAAAATGAATAGTCCTACCTCTATAGAAAATCTCTATATGATATCTGACATCTGTAGAAATTTCAACTATTCAGAAATCATCTGAGAATAAGAAATTAAGTGTAGCCGAAATTAAAATTACTAAAACTTCCTATTATATTAACTTTTTTTAGTTTGCACATATGACAACTCATTTACTTCATTCAGGGTCTATTTCTCCATATATGACCCTGAATGAAGTAAATGAGTATTAAGTATTCTACATGCATTATTTAATTAAATCATTGCATGAATTTTGAAGGGGATACTTGGTATGCTCATTTTGAGATGAAAAATATAATTCTTTATTTTATTCTAAATAGCTTAATTATTCTGTTCTCAAACTCCCAGAGACAAAGAAGCAATAAATTACATTGGAAGTTGGCTTCAATTATCAGGTGCACAGCTGGGTGTGATGGCACATGCCTGTAATCCCAGCAGCTCAGAAGGCTGAGACAGGAGGATCTCAAGTTCAAAGTCAGCCTCAGCAATGGCGAGGTGCTAAGCAACTGTCTCTAAATAAAACACAAAATAGGATAGTGCTGGGGATTTGGCTCAGTGGTTGAATGTCCCTGAGTTCAATCCCCAGTACCAAAAAAATGTTATCAGGTGCACTAATTGATGGCAGTGACAAGGAGATGGAAGTCCTTTGAGAAATAGATGCAAAGCAACATCTCATCCTCAAGCAAAGCATCAAATTGTACTTATGCAAATCAGCAATAACCAGCTTTTCAGTGCAGTTCTTTTAAATTATTATGGAAATCCAGGATAATACTTTAAGATACAAAACTGATAAATGGGATATTTATGGATATTATCTTTTCTGATTTTAAAAACATCTGGAAAGCCAACTAAAAAACTGTTAACACTTAATATGGCAAGTTCATAAAATTAATATATAAAATATTTATTTCAATTTAAAAGCAATAATCAATTATGTTCTACAATAATAAAATTATTCATATTAATATAAAAACATATACCCAGAATTTCTGTAATGATATGTAAAAAAAACTTCCATGAAGAAAACTGCAAAACTCTACCAAGATATATAAAACATGACTTATACAGATTGAGGTACATTTTGTTTCTGTGTGAAAAGAAATGATGTTATGATGATTTTAATTCTTTCCAAGTTAATTATATATTACACTAGTCAGATTATTTTAGTGGCAGGAGAAAGGAAGCCCAGTAAAACTATATTAAACAAAATGCTCTCCTCCTGAAAAAACTAACAGTCCCTATTAATAACTTGGGAGTCAGATCTAGGTTCAGCTGAATCCAGGATTTGAATAATGCCATGAGTGGTCTGTTTTATGGCTTTAGTCTCAGATCATCTGTCTTCACATGGCTTTGAATGGCCATTAGCAGTTTCAGTCTGACATCATTCTCATAACTGATTATCCCCAAATGAAGAGAGAATGTGCCACCAATGAAACAATAAGTATAGATGATGCCTATCAGTGACAATGATTAATGACTCACAAAGGAACATGGAGAGCCTTTTGGACATTCTATGCCCCCTGAAGGAAGAACACAATGCCTCTTGTAAAGTATTCTTACCCCAAAATTACACCTTAACTATCTCTTTATAGGAGTTAAAGGGGATAGAGAAACCACATAGTGTCCAAATACAGATGATTAGAGGATATAAATACAGATGATTGGAAGATATAAAGTGGGAAATCAATGCTGTTTGTCAAACCCCTTATTATGTAGCGGGGGGAGCCAGAAGGAGGGGGGAACATGTGAATTAAGAGACTAAAGACACATTGACCATGTCATGCTTTGTGAACCTTATATGGATGTTAACTGGAAATTTAATACTATTAAAGAACTATTGTTGAAATTTCTACTATGTAGTAGTGATATTACATTTTTTTAAAAAAAACAGACATTTTTAGAGCTAATTTATAGAATACTACTTATGTTGTAGGTAGGGTAATTTTTTTAATGCATTGACCTTATAATTCCACATCTAGGACATGATCCTAAGACAATCAGATTTGTTCTGAGTAGGGCCATTTATCATAACAAAGCAAGTCTGGGTATTTTGGGGAGACTTATACACCATTTGGGGGAAATTTGGAGCAAATCATGGTCCATTCATACAACAAAGTAGTTTGCATCCATTTCACATGACATTTACAAAGAAGGAGTGTTTAATGACATGAATATTTGTGGCATAATATTGAGGGAAGGTGGTGGCATTTTCTCTCTCTCTCTCTCTCTCTCTCTCTCTCTCTCTCTCTATATATATATATATATATATATATATATCTGTGTGTGTATGTATATATGTAAATATATATGTTTTATGTATTTACATATTTATATACAGATATAATTATATATACATAGATATAAATGTATGTTTATATAGATATAGATATAAAAGACTAGATAAAAATAAACCAAAATTTTAAGTGATTATTTCTGTATTAGTATCTTTAAAGTACTATTTACATTTTTCTGCATTTTGTAGATTTTCCTTAAGAGATACATTTTAGTGATTAGACAAATAAGAGACATGTATGTTAAAGTTGATGATAAAAACTAAAATCCATATAAAATTCACATTTAGGTAATTTTCTGAATAATGGAAAAATGTTACAATTTTTCTCTCATATGGAGATGTTGCCGAAATATATAATATCATGTGGAAATTTTTCATCAGAAACCTTTATACAGAATGAATCTGATGGTGAAAGTGCTAACCCTTTGGCATCCAGAGAATATAAGTAGTACAGGATAAGGAAGTGTTAGTATACACTGTAAAGCCACTGTTGCTCTGCATGGCATGGTACTGTAATGGCATTCTGTTATTTTTCTATTTTGATTTCCTCCAGAATCTCCAGACATAAAACAAAGATTATTGATTGTGTTTGCTTATTTACAGGTCTCCAGACAGTGGGGATATTCCGAGTAGGAAGCTCAAAAAAGAGAGTGAGACAAGTAAGTGAAAGGTCAAGAGTGTATTGTCCATTTCATTTGACTTTTAATTGAATTACCATGTGCTAGTTCAAGTTTATGCACATTCCCTTCTGAACATATTTTATGTACCCTCTAATTGATTATAGTATAATTTAGTTCTAGGAGATAAAATGCAACAACTCAGAAGCTCAGAAAAGTTGTTACAGAGTCAGGATCAAGCAATTGAAAGAAAATGTGTAGAAATGTCCATGCCATGTTCAGTCAAAGAAAACCGTTTGATAAACATCTTACTGAAAGTGTAAAAGCAGGATATTCAGAGAGTACCTAATCAGTAAGTGATAGTAAGTAGAAAATGATTGTGCCTGTTTTTACTAAAATGTGACATAAAAATGTCATTAATATTCTCCTCACATAAGATACAATGTATATGCATTTATTCTTTCAAGATTCTTTTTTTTCTTTTGTTTTTGTTTTTTCTTTTGACTTTTCATTTATTTATTTATTTATCTTCTGTGGTGCTGAGAATTGAACCCAGTTCTTCACACATGCTAGGCAAGTGCTCTACAACCGAGCCACAACCCCAGCCCCCAAAATAATTCTTAAGCTTCCACAGAACAATTGATTTCCAATTCTTTTATCATGAAACCATAGTCCTTGGTTTCCCTCAGCACTATACAACATTCTTGCAACAGAAGTTTGATATTCGACTGTCAAGAATAGGTTCCTATGATCATACAGGTCTCTGTGTTAATGATGGCTTCATAAAAGGCAAACCATCCTTTGAATCCTTTGAAAAAATAGTTCATTTGTTAGTGAAACAAAATTTAAATGGTATTTTCCCCTCTGTTGGTTCCAACAGAAGGAAATAAGGAACTCACCAACTCAAAAAAAGGCCAAATATAAACAAATTTCAGTGGATGGAACTGATGAAATTATATTTGTTTATATTATCAAAAGTAATTGAAATAAATGCCCCTAATTTTTTGTCAAGATAAAAAGCACTTTCAAAAGTAGAAACTCTTTGATTGGTTTGTGTTTTTATCCTTAATGGTCACACAAAAGATTATTAAGCAACATTTATATTTCACAAGAGGACTTGCAAGAAAGAAGATAGTATTGTAACATTTCCTAGACCTCTCACCTGTGCAGAACTGCAGAATATTTTCACAAATATCATCTCAATAAATCCACCCACCAGCTATGAAAGTCGCCCCCCTCACCCTCTTCTATTGAGGCTTAGATAAATTTAGAATGTCAATTCAAAAATCACACAATTTAATTAGTCACTCTTACTTTATTGGCCAACTCTTTGAACAGTCCATTCTTTCTGCATGTGTGTGCTCAGAAAAGAAACATGTGTCTCTATGAGCACTGTTGGAGTAGTGCTGATGGAAGCCCTCTCTATTCTACCTTCCTGACACTCACTGATAGTGAGTTGTCTGGAATCACTGACCAATTCAGGATAGTGGTGGGTAGTCACATCAGGTAGACAAATAGAGAGTGCCAGAAATTTTTCATCAGTCATATCTTGATCCAGTTAAAGGAGAATCTTTGCATGGAGGCTTATTTAAGGATTACCCAATAAAATCGAATTGGTGGTTCCTTAGAACTAGATTCCAAGTATGCAATATGTTCTAACTCACTCACCATTCTACTTTATTATACCACTCCTTAGCACTCTGAACTTTTTTTCCCAGAACACTATTTTAAAAAGAATAGCTAGGACTGGGGATATAGGTCTGTTGGTAGAGTGCCTGCCTCACATGCATAAGGCCTTGGGTTCAATCCCCAGCAACACACACACACACACACACACACACACGAATACTCTTTATCACTTTGTCTCAACTAGTCTGAGAGATGGAGAAGGGTAGGAATATGTCTTTATTTATACACTTAGTATAAAAATTAAGGCAGGGAATCCTTCTGGTAATTGACAAATCTAAGATAGCCTTTGTTTAAATTTTGTCATCTTTTAAGCCTTAGTTACAAATATCAGGGTTTTTAGTTTCATTATTTGCAGAATAGTCTTCTAGTTTTCTTGTTGAGTATCTTAATAAAATATAAAAATTCCAACATATCAGAATTAGTAACATGCATAACGAGTGTGCAATAGGTTGATTTCTCCTTCTCATAATTACAATTAACCCAAGTTCTCTTCTATCCCTTAGCCCTTCCTCCCAATACTCTGGTTGTGATTTTTGAACCCCTTGCTTCCATCATTAACAGGAAATGCACAGATAGTTTTATTTAAGAAGACATTTAAACTTGTATATGTATATTTAGTCATGGGAATGTGTATGTGCGTATATGTATGTATATTTACATGTAGTCATGGATATAAATACATATATATTCATAGCCAGGTTGTGTAGACTCTGAGGATCAAAGCATTATGTTGTTTACTTTTCCTTCTTGGGGTCTGTGCAGACTTAATACCAGATGTTACACATCAAAACATTTCTTTTGGTGGACTCTGAACATTGAGGTATGTTATGTGACTGCCACTTGAACCATTGTTTTTCCAGTTACGTGAGGAATTTGACCGTGGGATTGACGTCTCTCTGGAAGAAGAGCACAGTGTTCATGATGTGGCAGCCTTGTTGAAGGAGTTCCTGAGGGACATGCCAGATCCCCTTCTTACTAGAGAGCTGTACACAGCTTTCATCAATACTCTCTGTACGTAGTATTTGTGGGAAAGTATCCCTGGAATACTGGGATGTCCAGCTCACTCATGAAATGTGTTTGCCAATAACTGTTTTTGTCCTTATTCATCAGTCTCTAATGAAGGTGGTATTTGGGGAATTTTCTGAGGTTTACTCTAGGTAGAATTATCAAGAAGAATTTGCAATAAAACAAATGGAAATAGTCAAGAAGAATTTGGTATGCTTTCAAATGACCCCCAGGACAGGAAAAGGTGCTATAAATTGAAGCTTGGAGTACCAGTGAGAGAACACATTGAGTCTGTGCCTAAAAATGAGCTGATAATTCTAATACAAGGAAGAAGGAGTCGAAGAAAGCAGAAGGAGGAAAGTGGGCACAAAACATTTCAGGGGAAGTAAGATGGCATAGCTCAATTTCAGGACTTTTAATGTACCTGCTTCTGGGGCTGCAGATAAAGACTCCATGGAGGTCTAGGGAGAGGAGAGATAGGGCAGAGCTGTGTCATCCTGCATACATGTCTTCCTCCAGTGCTTTGATTCAAAAGGGATCACAAAAGAACAACAAAACCGTGTCTTTGTGGTATGTCTCAGGTATTACCAAAAAAAAAAAAAAATCTGTCCCTTGTGTATTTCTCAACAGGAAATGACCTCAAATCCATTATAAGTTCAAATTTCAGAACATCTACCAATTCGAGGCCATTGTTAGTAAATATTTACCAACAATAGACTGAAATCCATTAAATCAGGATGAGTAATACCAGAGAAAGGAAAGAGATGAAAGTAAGAGGAATAGAACCGCCTTTCTCATGAAGTCTCTAGATGTTCTATTTCCCCAGGTCTAATTGTTCTTTCTGTCATAGAACCTTATGACAAAATTGCTAAAGTAATGGGAGAAAGGTGAAGGCATAAACTGGCTTTCCTTGGTAACTTCTTTGTTAAGTCAGTTGAAAAGAGGTCATTCCTCTTCCCTTCCTTCTCTGTGTCTGAACCATGTGGGCTCCCCTTGTTCTCACTTAGAGCAATTCTGTCTGCCTTTCATAGTGTTGGAGCCAGAGGAACAGCTGGGCACCTTGCAGCTCCTCATCTACCTTCTACCTCCCTGCAACTGCGACACCCTCCATCGCCTCCTACAGTTCCTTTCCATCGTGGCCAGGCATGCTGATGACAATGTCAGCAAAGATGGGCAAGAGGTATGGACCCCTTCACTTCCATGGATGCTGTGACTCTTCCTTTCTCCTGGTTTTTAAAAGGGCAATCCATTAATATGGCCATCAGTTGAAGAAAATTACACCTTCCATCTCTGACCTGTCTATAAAGAAAGAAATCAATACAAAATCTTCTCTGGAGGGCAGTCCCTAAACGCACATTAGCCTCCTTGTATGCTTCAAGGATGCTTCCAAATGAGACTGTCATTTTCCATGATGATGCTTTACTCAAGACCCTGAATTTTTGTTTGTGAAGAGAAGACAAACAATGTGCTATAGAGGTGGTTGCAATCATGTGAAAGTAGAGCAGTGGGGGTGAGAGGAGGCTACCAACCTTGTAACTGGTTTGATCTGATTCTTTAACTTGGAGCCCAAAATTCTTTAACTAACATCCCCTTCTTACTCTGTTAGTTTGTCTCTGGGGGTCTCATCTGTACTAGGAGCTAGAAGTCCAGAACTTCACTGAGAGGAGTCTTTTTTCTCCTTAAAACTCCCCCTTAATAGGGATTTGCTGAATGCAATAGAGAGTCTGTCTTCTTCCAAACCAGATGTAGAGGGCAGTGGAAGGTCTAATCTTTGCTGTTGCATCTCAATGTCACATAGTGTCAACTGATAAAGGAAGGTTAAGCATAGTCCCACAGACCATTTAGGCATGTTCTGGTTGAACCTAGATACAACTCAGGCCACAGTGATTACCTGATCTGAGGTTTGTGGCTTTATTTTTTGTTTGGTCACACTCATGCTTCAAAATGTTTTTCAAGATTATTTTTTTTTTGGTTTCATCCTTGGACAAAGGAAGTGTTGGTTTCTATTTTAAGTGGCCTACTAGCAGTTACTCTGTTTAATCTTCACTTTCACAAAAAAGCCCTTTCCCCTCTGATCCCATGCAGTCAAACATCTCCTTGCCATCAGATTTCCCAGGAGGGCTCAAACCCTTAAATATACTAACTTAACATGCACTGTTAATCAACAAGAAGAAGCTACAGCCACCCCAAATTTACTTAATCATATGAACTTTTATTTAAATAACTGTTAAACAGAGCTCAGCTATATTGTGGATTCAGTTCTGGTCTTGTCAAATTTAGTTCCCAAAGTAGATGGTCATATGCATTTTTTCACTCTAATCTAGAAAAGCAATTCTGCATTTCTCCTCCCCCTCCTCCATGTGAGTGTGAGAATGGAACTTTCCTGAGTTAGCCATTTATCTCGATGGGAGTTATAATTAGTGAAACCCCTGCTAGCTTCAGGTTTCATAATATGACCCTGACACCTCATTTCAGCATACACAGCTCTTTAATGGAAGTACTATAATTCTCATAATTGTTACGTAGTTATATTACCTGTCTGGGTGTCAGCCTTTATCGACTGACGATTTAACAGAAAATGTAGAGTCATCTGCCTGATAACTAGGTAAAGACAGAGCCCCATGTCAGAAGGTACACCCGTTGCCGCTGTGACATTCCCTATGTGCTAAGTGAGAAGAAGAAGGTTGGGTCTCAGGTGATTAATAATGCATTTAGGAAAGTGAAAAGTCAGTCAAACTTTCTACAATATTGCCTATTTTAGAATTATTTTCCATTCCAAAGCTGAACAAGACTCCATTGCCCATGATCAAATAAAACATTATTTGATAGGTATAAGAAACTTACCATGTTGTAATACCAGCTACAATTTATGTCTCTCCTCCCACGTGCTGGCTTAGTAAATATATTTATATAAAATATTTATGTGTACACACATACACAAACACACAAGGAAATTCTAACAGGCAAAAGAGATATCATTGTCTACATATTTCAGGGTGGCAACTTAGGGCCAAAAGGGTTAGGTAAGTTACCCAGCACCTCACAGGGAACCTTCACTAAGGGTCATGCAAGTGGCACATTTATACATTTCATCACTCTGAGGAGGTGTCATGTACCTAATGGTCACTGTAGATTTGCAGAGTTATTAGGACAATATCCTAGCAGATGATAGTAAAATATCATGAGGAAGGCCCTCCTTTTTCTAATTCACACAATGTTGTCATAATGGCTAGTGGTCAGATTGATTTTATGACTAGTAAATGTCCAGCTGTGCTTCAAACCCAAGCCATTCTAACTTACTGAGAAAAGAAATGTAAACTAGGATTTAGAAGAAGTAAACTGAAATTCTACTGAGGGTACATCTCAGGTTTTTATAGCTTCTGCATGATTGATATTTGGCACCAAGTATTTTTTCTTGTGGATGCTGCCCTGTATGCTGTAGTTTGTTTAGCAGCATCCCTGGCCTCTACATATTAGATAGCAGTAGTAATATGCCCCACACACAAGCTGTAACTGCCAAAAATATGTCAAACATGCCAAGTCTCTACTTGGGTTGAGAGGAGTCAGAATTACCCCTGATTGTAAAGCTCTGGTGGTTCTATAATCCACTGACTATGTGTCCTTGGACAAATCTATTTGCCTTCCTAAACCTGTATCTTATCATCTAAACTCAGGGAATGTAAATTCCAACTAGGAGCCAGACACAGTGTGCACACCTATAGTCCCAACTACTTGGGAGGATGAGGCAGGAAAATTGATTGAACCCAGAAGTACAAGATGTAGTAAGATTCTATCTCCAAAAAATAAATTCTTTTCAGGCACTAAACAGTGTATTAGGCCTAATTTGCTTTAAGTAATATAAAAATATCCTGGTAACAATAAATTTGTACAAAGAAGCAAGGGATCATGAAGGTTTCCAGACACTCTTGGACTAAACCTTGCATCAAAATGAAGGACTAATAGCCAATGATTAAAATAAGAACATTATTGAAACATAAGAACATTATTGCTTCCCTGAAGAGGTTTGAAGTCACATGAAAGCAAACAGCCAGTGCAGCCATCTTGGACTCAAGTAAACACTACAGAGAAGAGTCAGTACTGAGAAAACAAGAGGAAATTGGGCCATGTTCATAGAGTAATTCATTCCTCTGTTGGGTTAGGTGATTGTTTCTACTAAGACCTGAATAATTGGAAGGCTTTGGTAACAGGTGATATAATTCATGCTGTAGATTTATTTGAGACAGGGAGAGAATGAGTTAGGAAGCTTTTCATCAATAGCAATACAGAAAACAGCAATTCCTTTTAAAAATGTTTCCATTTAAGGATGATCTTGGTATTTGAGTCTTGTATGTCCTGAGTACCTTCCCTGAGTTCCTCTAAACCAGTTATTGCCATTTAGGAATTTTTGCAATGACTGTTCTGATATGCTGTGGCATCTAGGGGGTGCGGGAGAGGTGAGGACACAAGGTAGAGTTAGGGAATGCAGTGCAAAGTCACTGTCAAAATTCAGAGAAGGAATGAACATGGACCAGAAGAGTTAGGAATGGCTCCATGTAGGAGACAGAATGTAAGCAACATATCAAAGGGTGCATAGAGATTGAGTAGATGGACCACATAATCATGGCATAGGGTTAGGAGTTAGCTAAACTCCTTGAGTGCAAGTTAAGGGTGGGGATAGAAAACAAAGAAAAAGTTTTTATGTTTAAAAGATTTTAGTTGGTTTGGCATGAGCAGGAAGAGAACCCCAAATGGGCAGACTAGAGAAAGGCTGCAAATCTAATTATAAAATAAGGTCAAGAAACAAAGCATTTTCCAACTTATCTTACCAATTTGTCAGTTTATATTATCCAGTTGTTGTTGTCACTGTTTTATGGATTACAAAAAGGAAGAGAACTAAACCAGATTGTCAAGTAGCCCTAAAGCTCACACGTGCTCTGTCAACACCTTGCTGCATGACCTTGTTATGATGAAACAAAGGAAGAGGAAGGAGCTGGGGAAGGTCTAAGCTTCCTCATCTATAAAGTGAACATAACATTTCCTTTCTAGTAGATGCTTGAAATCCAATACACCATTAGCTGGTGGGACTTGAAAGATATCTAAAAGAAGGCATGAGGAAAATTATTTACTAATCAATCAGTGCTTTTCTTGAAGCAAAAATAGTGATATTTTATTGAATTGTGGTGTTTTGCTCTCTTGTTTTATTCCATTTTGTTTAGTTTGCTATTTTCTTTGCCACTTAGTAAAAAGAGAAATTCCCAAATCTAAGAAATATTTCATTTCTTCTAGAAACAATAGAATAGAAACAAAATTGAAACCTCCAGAGCATTGGTTTTTCAGAGAATCCAAGAACCCCCTGGCATTGCATGGAAAGCGTGGTGTGAATATGGGCTCGTGTGGTGAGAGAGTCCATAGTTGGCATAGAGTTCTCAAAGGGTTTATATACAAGGCAAAAAAGAACCAATGTAGAGCTGAAATGACTGATCTTTGAGGAGGTAAATGCCTCTGGGAAGTGGTAAATTGGCTTTGGAACTTTGGCAGGATCAGTGCCTGCCTTGCCTCTGCCTCCTCCAGCCCAGCTTTAAAGCTCATTTTCCCCATCTCCCCATGCCACAGCAGGGTCTGCCAAGCCTACAGCTAACTTGAGGAGGTGCACTCATGTGACAGAGTATGAGGCCACCTGGAGTGAGGCCAATAGCATCCCTTCTTACTGCACTGACTCCTAGCTCTAGCTCTGGGGCCACCCCATCTATAAAATAAAGACAACAGCAGCTGCTTTGGAAGCTTATACTAAGAAAGAGTTGAAATAGTCTGTGCAAAGCCCCTATCCCAGAGTCTGTACACACTAAACTTTTAATAAATGTGAGCTATTTATATGAGGCTTAGAAAATGATCCAGGTGGCTTATTTAGTGAAGATAAAAGTTTTCCTTGTATTGGCTGGCTGATTAAATAATGCAATAATGTCCTGGCCTCCAGTGCATGTACTATCTACCTAGACATACCATATATGTACATTAAAATATAGGCTGAAACATGGGGAGCAAGGGTGGAAGATGTCTGGGAGCAAATCCCCTTTCCAGTTTAAATAACAATAAAACGGAAAAACAAAGCAAAACCAAAAAGTGGTAACAAACCACAGCAGCCTGGTCTGCAGCTGGAATCTATGTGCAATTTTACAGACGGATTGTATTGCATTCCCAGAATAGCAACCAGAGAAGGATAGAGCGGAAACAGAACTCTGGATTGTCCTTGTACTAAACATTCTTTTAAAAGAAAACAAAATCTTCCATTTGTTAATGTTAAAAATGGAGAAAACCCTAATATTACTTTAAAGTGGGGAGGGGAAGCACTAAATTTGCCTCTGAGTTCTAAATGGAGGAATTTGAAAATGACACGGATTTGATTTTATCCTTAACCATGAATTTCCAGGAAGAGAAATGAAAACTTGTCAAGCTTTACATCAACAAGATAAAAGAAAAAAAAAACAAAAATTAATAAATGAATGATTTGTTTTTCTTCCAAGAGAGAGAGAGAAATGGAAGGTTCTGTGTTTATTGCACAGAATAATTTCCCTTGGCAGCAAATCATTTACCTGAAAACGGCCTCACCTTCTAAAAATAAAGCAAGCCGTGTGCCCACTAGAGTTGCTGGACAGGTGGCCAGCAGCTCTGTGCTCAACAGGAATTGGGCAAAACTCGGGGACCTTCATCTCAGCTGTTCGTTAAGACTCATGAATTCTATGCTGACACCCATGTACATCTCAAAGGCTGTGTATATCTTCCCAGAGAAAACATCCTTACCCTCAATAGTCCTAAATTTTCAGCTAGAATTGACAAGAGAAATAAAAATTCACACTGACCAGTAGTTCTCAACTAGGGGAAATTTTGTCCCACAGAGGACATATGGCCATGTTAGGAAACAACTGGATGTGGAGGGATACTGCTAGCATTTAGTTGACTAAGGCCAGTCAACATTCTGCCATACAGCGCAGCCCCTGCAGCAAAGATTTCTGATCCCAAATGTCACTAATGCTGAGGTGGAGAAACCACAGCCTAGAGAAACTTACCCAGATTCTCTCTCGTATATGAAAAAAAGAACCAAATGAGTAAAAAGAAGTTCTAGGGATGGTGTTGTAGCTCAGTGGTAGAGCAATTGCCTAGCATGTGTGAAGCACTGGGTTTGATCCCCAGCACCACATAAAAATATAAATAAACAAAAGTATTGTGTCCATCTACAACTAAAAATTTTAAAAAGGAAATTCTAAGCCTTTAAATATTCTCCTATCTCTTATTATAATTCAACTTATAGGAATTACTCCTAAGACAGTACTCAGCCAATCTCACAAAGCATCTTTGTGAGTACACTATTTTTGTACCATTTTTAATAATAACAGAACATTGAAAACAGCATAAATATCTATTAGTTGGCTGTGGTTAAAACAAATCAGGATCTATTCATGCAATAGGATACTAGGAACCAATAAAGGTCTAAAAGAGGACTGTTTTGAAATTGACAGATCAATGAAATATATATTTTAAGAGAAAATAAGCAAGGCACAAAATAATACATT